GGCAGAGGGAGAGGGAGAAGCAGGTTCCCCACTGAGCAGGGAGCCCGACGTGGGGTTCGATCCCAGGACCCTGAGATCATGACCTGAGCCGAAGGCAGACACTTAATTGACTGAGCCACACAGGTGCCCCAATAATACTCAACTTCTATGAGTTCACTACAACTCATTAAAATGTTAACACTTGCTAGGAAGAAAAAAAAAAAGAAATGACAATAGGTACATAAGATTTCAGACATAAAAATGACAGCACATTTGTTCTGCTGTGGTTGGCTAATCCTTCACTGCACAGCTCTGTGCCTTCTTACACTGGAAAGTGAGAGAAGGTCTGGGACTGTGAATGCTAATATTTTTTAAATCTGCTAGTAACAAGCATTTACTTAACTACTAGTTTTAACAATATGTGGTTTTGAAACTATCCCCTTCTGGTAGGATATATATGTTATAAGAGACAATGAAGACTTTTGAGTAGGAGTATGGTTGTTGATTATTGTTTTCCTTAATTTTTAGGGAAATAGGAGATCAATGGCATTTGGCAATTCAAGAAGCAATTTTAGAAAAATGCAGTGATAATGATGGCATTGTTCACATTGCAGTAGACAAAAATTCACGTGAGGTAAAGTAACTTTTACTACTGAATTTTACATTTTGGATTTGTTGCTATTAAACTAAAACTGTTTCTTTTTTTCTTTCTTTCTTTTTTTTTTTTTGAATTATCACAGGGTTGTGTATATGTTAAATGTCTGTCTCCAGAATATGCTGGAAAAGCTTTTAAGGCATTGCATGGCTCTTGGTTTGATGGTAAGAAGTTTGAGTATTACAAACATTTTAAAATGATAAATTATGGCTTACTGTTAAACTATACCAGATTTTAAATTAAAGAATTTTAGGTCAGCATTTTTAGAGTAATTATTTAAGATTGTTTTATTTGTTCATATGTCTTTTACCACAGTTTGTTTTCTATAAATATTAAGCACATTTTTACAGATCTAAAATATTATTTTTATCTTACAACAGGGAAATTGGTTACAGTAAAATATTTACGACTAGATAGATATCACCATCGCTTTCCCCAAGCTCTTACTTGCAATACTCCCTTGAAGCCATCAAATAAACATATGAACTCTATGTCTCATCTTCGTCTTCGGACTGGCCTAGCCAATTCTCAAGGAGGTTCCTGAAAAGACTTTCTTCCACTCCTAGGACTGGTATTTACAATAGGAAAATTCCTGTTTGGCTTCCTGTCTTCCTTTTAAATGCTTTTTGTATGTAATATTTTTATTGAATACAGCTCTGTTTGAATGTTCCAGAAATCTTAAGGTTCCAAAGGGACTTAGCAGTGAGGCAGCAATGCTGAGTAGGCAGAACAATTGTTTCATTCAGTTTTTGGAGCTCAGTTAAGCTGATGCATTTAAAGTTTTGCATGAGGAACATTGACTTATTAAGCATTTTCAGATGTGGTGATTGTGTTTTTGCACCACAGAGTGTTTGGATAACCACACAAAAGCATGGTGAAGAGGCTTCTTGTATTTCCATAATTTCCTGTGAACTAATGTTGTGAATTTTTGTATACAGTCACCTGCATAGTTCCTTACCAGGCTAATGTGGTAAAACTGTTATTTCCCAATTTAACCTTAGGTTTCTATTGCTTGTAAGAGATTCATTTGTTACAGCTGGAATACAGGAAAACTAATTTGGGTTTAGTGGTTACATATAAGTGTAGGTGGATGTACATGTACTTAAACTGGCTTTTGTATATATGTATAAATGCTGGTGGTGGCGAAAGTAGTCGTGTTTTGTGAGGATGTCTGCATTAAAGCAGTAAAATAAGCTTCCTATTTTATTCATAATCTGATGTGTATATATGTATGTGTATATATGTGTGTATGTGTGTATATATGTGTGTGTATATGTGTATATATACACACACATATATACATATGGCTGTACTATCACATAGATCAAACAGCCAAACACCTGGAAGTATTAGATACAAGTTTAAAATATCTTTTATAAGTTTTATATAAAAATGTCTGAGTATGATTTTGTGTGAAAGTTCTGATATCAGTTGTAATGGATTCAAATTTATGTGAGCAATAAAGATGCAATTGGCAGATATTGGAAAAGTATTTTGTGAAAAGCTGTATTTATTATAAATACTAGGACTATGACATAGTACTATTGGGATTAAGTCATTTTCCCAATCTATTTATAATATAATGAAATGTCAGCTCCCCTGTTGTATGTCAGGTTTAAAGCAGGGCATATTGTTGCAGCAAAATGTGTATTTGAAAAATTATATTTGAAATTTTGGGTCATGAAAGCTTGCAATATAGTAAATGCACGAGTGACCGTCGCTTTGTGCCTCGGTATTTACTTTGTTTCAGTAAAGTTGCTTTATTACTGTTTATGATTTCAGATTAAAATAGTTGCTGAGCAGAGTTTACTTGTAATGTAACAATTGGCTTTTTTTTTTTATAACCTGTTGATATATCTTTGTCAGTCCAAATGAATATGTGAAACAGCTGGAATTGTACCAATTTTGATTTTGTTTAAAGCTCAGTTTCCTTTTTGTTTTTTAATTGTATATGTGTTGGGTTTGCAGCATGAACTTGCACAGATAATGCACGTTTTCTGGTTAAGTAAACATGATGCACACTGTTCTGTAACAGAAAACCCTATTGTGCCTTACCTATGTGCTTTTGTGGGCACCATGTTTATGAAGAATAAAAAATGATTTGTTATCTGAAGAGAATAAATTTTAAATTCTCAGTTTATGTCTCAGATACTAAAGTGTGAAAATATAAATATATATATAATATATAAAATAACCAATCTTTCTGTATTTTATGTGCATCATAGTGACTTATCTGAGCTTAGTGACCCCCATCTTGTGACCTGTTGCAAGAGTGAATGTAAAAAATAGTCGTGGCATCTTAAAAGGTCGCCTTTTGATGCAGATGCATCTTTTTTTTGCTTCTAAAACATATTTCATGTAAACATTGTACATTTATTATTGTAATATATACTATTATGCAGCTTATTTTACCTGAAACTGTTAAGCCGACCAAGATCCCTCCCTGCAAGACAGATGGGAATGTGTATAATAACTAGATATTTGAGAAGTTCTGAAGTTTGATGTAATCTGTTACTTGTCCTGTTAAAAAAAAAAGGAAAAATTCTAATTAAAAATTTATTAGGTTTTTTTTAATGTGTCTTGGCTTTTAAAACTTTTTAAGTGCCCTGTGTCTTTATTTTTTTAACCAGTGAAAGTAGGTGCCTTTATTTTAAATCTTCTTGGGGATCTGTAAATATATATATGCTCATAAAGGTGGATGAAGACCCTAAAGTTAATTTTTTTTTTTTAAAGATTTTATTTATTTGAGAGAGAGAGAATGAGAGAGCACATGAGAGGGGGGAGGGTCAGAGGGAGAAGCAGGCTCCCCGCTGAGCAGGGAGCCCGATGTGGGACTCGATCCTGGGACTCCAGGATCATGACCTGAGCTGAAGGCAGTCGCTTAACCAACTGAGCCACCCAGGCGCCCCCTAAAGTTAATTTTAACCATCCATTCCTCAGCATCTTACTTTTCTTTATGAAAATGTCTTTTTCTAACTCTCAAGTGTTTGGATCAAAGTGGGGCAAGACTATAAATCAGCTGTATCACTAAAGCAGCACTGTTTAGTTTAGACATTTTTCCATAGCAAGACTTTCTCAAAAAAGGAAGCCATTCTTTTACATGTTCTGCTCAAAACTCCTTTATCTCATTATAAACCAACAGTTTATGGGCTAGCCTCTTTGAGTAGAATTGGTTTAGAATTTTTGATGGTTTAATCAAGTAAAAAGACTTGATTAGTCAGTTGGTAGACTCTCACTGATTGCTAACAAAGGTCAGGCATTGTTACATGTTAGGGATGCAAAGATGGAAAAGACATGGCCAAAACCTCAAGATGGTCCCAGTCTTAGAGGAAGAACGTAGAACAGATCAGTTAAAAGACAGTGTGGGGGTGCCTGGGTGGCTCAGTTGGTTAAACGACTGCCTTCGGCCCGGGTCATGATCCTGGAGTGCCAGGATCGGGTCCCATGTCGGGCTCCCTGCTCAGCAGGGAGTCTGCTTCTCCCTCTGACCCTCCTCCCTCTCTTGCTGTCTCTCATTAAAAAAAAAAAAAGTGTGGAAAATATAGTGAGAGAAAAAATTCTAGGAGTACAGAGAGGCACCTTATGCATCTTTTTTTTTTTTTTTAAGATTTTATTTATTTGATAGAGGCAGGCAGAGGGAGAAGCAGGCTCCCTGGTGAGCAAGGAGCCTGATGTGGGACTCGATCCCAGGACCCTGGGATCATGACTTGAGCCAAAGGCAGACGCTTAACCGACTGAGCCAACCAGGCATCCCACCTTATGCATCTTAATACAGGGAGAAGACATAAGGCGGATGAAATAACAATTGAGCCATATTTTAGTTCAGTTTAACATTTATTAAACACGTCTTAATTAGCATAGATTCAATGGTGAGTCTCCTCTCCCTTGAGCTCTTAGGGGAGCTTTTATTCTTGTGATGAGCTCATAAAAATTGATGTGTGGAACCTGAATTTTTATAAAATCCATTTTCACATTCATTGGTCTGTAGATTCCTGAATACCTTGTAAATATTGAAGCTGGATATTCGACTTCATTACATTTTCCTTCTATGGTATTAACTGTTGGGATGACAAGCTGTGAATTCTGAGTGAGCAATGATTTGTTTTATCATATACCCAGAATATTTCCTTTAGTAAGATTGACCTGACAGTTCTCACTGCTCCTAGTAATGTCACATTACTATAGGTTATCTACATGGCTTCTTCGCCCTTTTTTCCTAGACTTATCTCGGCAAGTCACTTCTTCCAGATGACTCAACAGAGGATGCTAAATCAAGCAGAATTTGGGCAGCCATTCTTTTGGAAAGGATGCTGAGGAACAGGTACTTAACGAACTGAAAATAATTAGAAACCAAAAGTTGTGGTTTAAAGAAACAATGTCCAGGATGCTCATTCTCTTGGTCCAGTAAGCATGAGTAGCTACTGCCTCTAAGCCTCATTGGAGAAACTTCATGACCAGAAATATATCCTGATGGTAGATTTTGGCACCTGAGAACCTCTGCTAGGGGCAGCAGGATAGAGTCATTTTGTTGATTCTTAGATTTTAAAACCAATAGAACCTGTGTACTTAGATTTACTTTTTCTTCCATGGGTGGACATTGGAGGCCGGCACGTGCTCCTGAAATTGAAGGTTATCTAGGCATAGAGAGCACATGAAAAAAGATGGATGAGATAAAACCTACTGCATGTATAGAGTACCAGCAGTGTCTTACAGTTGAATTACTTAGTAAAAAAGTCGGCAGTGATCATCAGATGATAGAATGCTTTGTAGGTCACATTATGAAGTTTGGATGTTGGTTGGTAAAGGGAGTTCAGGTGAGCATTGGTTGTGGTGAAAAATGGAGAAAGGATTTGACAAATAAGATAAAATGGGAAGGACTTAATTGGATATTGGGAGATAAATTGATGTCCAGTTTTCTAGTATGGGAATTCTCATAATTGCAACATTTAGATGGAAAAGATGATAGTTGAAATTTTGGACGTTTTGAGGTTGGAATGCTTATGGAATATTCAGGTGGATGTTCCTAGCAAGTAATTGAATTTCTAATTCTGTGGTATTTTTGAGAAAGATCTGAGCCTAGAGATACAATTTGGGCATTAAAACCATGAAAGTAAACTAGATGACCCAGAAAACGAACGAGAGAATCCATATAGAGACAGAAATTTAGTTCACTGCCAATTCTGCCATACTTGTATGGTTGGGGATGGCATGAAGTATTAAGGAAAATTTGAAACAAATTAAGAGGATGGAATTTGAAAAGGTTCTTGGCATGAAGTTAAAGCAGAAATTTTATGACTATCACATTTCTGGCTTGGGCAGCTGGTTAGATGGTGGTGACATTCCCTAAATTATGGGTTACTGGAGAGGGGATCAAGAGGCCAATCAGGGTGGTAGATAAGATTTCTCAGAATTGTAGCAGTTAACCAAAATAATCCTCTGACTTTTCTAATGTAGAACATTGTTGGAGGAAGGGCAAGACGGAGCTGTTTGAGAATCTCTCCTTTCCAAAAAACAGAACTGTTAACTTACATAATGTTCTGGCATTATCTATGATTCTCTGATAGTGATTAGAAATTTTCCTGCTTTGTAAAAATATGAGATATTGAGTAGATCTAGAAACCTATGATTGTCAAAAGAAAGCATAAGTACAAAAGTTGACTTTTAAACGGAACTGTTCATAAGTGGTTTGCCATATACCCAAGACTAGAAACTTGCTTGAAGCCATGTATTACACAGCCTTTGTAAACTAGTCAGGTCTTCCAGGCCTGGAACCATTTCTTGGCGACTTCATTTCTGCTTTGATCTGTTGGAAATTTTAACTTTTAATGGGCAGTGTTACTTTTGTATTTCCAAATGCTGCAATATTTCCTTTTACCAAAAACAAAAACCAAAACAACCCCCTGCTAATGTGGAGATTTTAGTGGCTTTTTATTTCCTACTGAATAGTAGCCAAGTTTAAGTTGGTACTCGGCGCCTGCTTTTATCTAGACCGGTGCTTGTCCAATAGAAATAAAATGTCATGTGTAATTTAAAATTTTATGATGGCCACATTAAAAAAAAGTAAAAGAACAGGTAAAGTGAATTATTTAACTTGATATATTCAGGATATTATCTCAGCGTGTAATTAAAAATTTTATTAATGAGTTATTTTATATGCTTTAAAATCTAGAATATATATTACACTTACAGCTGGGGTAACCCTGTGTTGTATGACTTACAGTGCTAAAACTTACACAGTTGGTCACCTTATTAACAGCCCATCTCAATTCAGATGCTACATTTTCACTGAAAATACTTGATCTATATTTTGATTTTATAACCTCTGCCATTGGAAAAAGTAGATTCACATATCCAAGTTCTTCCAAACATACTTAGAAGTTTTCCTACAGCTGAATCAGGTGTCAGTTTTTAAGTTTACATTAATTCACATTAAAACTTTAATTCTTCAGTCATAGTAGCCATATTTTAAATGCTCAGTATCCATGTGTAGCCAGTGTGAACCACGGTGACAGTGTAGGTCTAGACCAACCTGCACCTTTCCAGCCGAGTCCCGCTTACCTGCCCTGGGCCCCAGCTAAACTGCCCTGCGTGACTTTGGTGGGCATACCTAACTCTTGCTTGATTCTGCCTTTACTGGCACTAGTCATATTGTTCCTTGTTCCTTGAAACGTCCTTCATTTCCTGTTTCTGTATGCCCAAATCTTGCCCACCCTCTAAAATGTTACTCATGTGTCGCCTCCAGGAAGTGTTGTTGATTATTTCTGGCTGAAAGTAATTTCTTCCATGTGCATTTCTGAAATACTTGATTTGCACTTCTCTTACTGTTTTAGTAGTTTATGTCTTGTATTACAGTGTTTTCAGTCTGCTCTAGTTTGGCTTCTGTACTCAGCATTCCTCTGAAATTGCTCCTCTGGAGCACCAAAAAACTTCCTTTTGCCAAGTTCAAGAGTCACTTCTAAAGCTTCATCTTTCTTGAACTCGTAGCCCCATCAGACATTGCTGATCGTTGCCTCTTTTTTTACTTAAACATTTTTTTTTGCTAAGAAATAACTCACACTTGGGGCGCCTGGGTGGCTCAGTCGTTAAGTGTCTGCCTTCCGCTCAGGTCATGGTCCCAGGGTCCTGGGATCGAGCCCCGCATCGGGCTCCCTGCTCCGCGGGAGGCCTGCTTCTCCCTCTCCCACTCCCCCTCTTGCTGTGTCTCTCTCTGTCAAATAAATAAATAAAATTAAAAAGAAAAAGAAAAAGAAAAGAAATAACTCACACTTATAAGAATATATTGAAATATTTTACTTACATTTTGAAGTATACCACCATCTTAAGATACAGAATATTGATTTTGAAGCACTTCTTTGCATTTGCCTGATGCTTCTCTTTCCTTCCCTACTCCCAGATAACCATTATTCTGAATTATGTGTTAATAGTTCTTTATTTTGCATTACAGTTTTACCACTTATGTATGTGTCTCTAAATATATTGTTTGTTACTGCTTTTGATCTCTCTATGAATAGAATCAAATGTATACTTGAGTGACTTTTTTTGTTCAACATGGTTATTGAGATTTATTTGTAGAGATGCAGGTAGCTTTCATTCATTGTTATGACTGTATAGTATTTATAAAATATACCACAATTTATCTATTCAGATCTATGAACATTGAGATCATTCTCAGTTTTTTACTATTATAAATAAGGTAGCTATGAATATTCATTCTTGAACATGTTTCCTGCTGTACACATTCAAGTTTCTCTGGGTCAATGATAACTCAAAACGTGTGGTTCTCTAGTCAGCAGCATCAGTATCAAATGGTAACTTATTACTCCAAGCAAATTATTGGGCCCCACCTAGACTTAACTGAATCAAGAACTTTGGATTTGGGGGCCTATAATCTGTTTTCACAAATCCTCCAGGTGATCCTGATGCACATTCAAATTTGAGAACCATTGGTATAAAGGTACCCTTTGCAAGATTAATTTGCATCTCCTGAATCTGATTTTTGGCTTCCATATTCTTGAAATACTTTTCTTTCTTCTTTTTTTCTGTGACATTTGAGAAATTCTGATGAGGAAATGGTTTGCTCTTGGCCTAAGGTAGTAGACTGAAAAATACACAAAGAAAGGCTGTTACATATATTCCATGGCTAAACTCTCAAGGCTTTGGCAAATCCATAACCTGAAACTATTTTCTTTGATGATCAGTTATCCTGCTTAAGGACATTCTTTTCAGCCTTTTTGCTAGCTGCCATCTAATCAATTTACCAAAAAGGTATATAAACAAGACTTAACTGTTGCTAGATTGTACTTTGCTTCCTCTGTTTTTTCACCTCTTTCCTATGGTGATGGTGGTTTTTTTCCCTTTTTTTTTTTTTTAAAGATTTTACTTATTTGACAGAGAGCACAAGCAGGGGGAGCAGCAGACTGGAGAGGGAGAAGCAGGTTCCCCACTGAGCAGGGAGCCCGACGTGGGGCTGGATCCCAGGACCCTGAGATCATGACCTGAGCCGAAGGCAGACATTTAACCGACTGAGCCACCCAGGCGCCTCTGTTTTTTTTTTCTTTTTTGGTCTTTTTTCTTTGATAGGTTTTTCACTGTCTACCTCATGTGACTAAATTTCCATGCAAGTAACTAAATATCTGAGTTATTCTTTTACACACCACAATCCCGTTTTTCCTCCTGCATGATTTTTTACTCCTTTTCAGTTTCTTCTGCCAGGTCTTCCTCTTTTGCTCACTTACAATATTGGAGTGCCCTGGGCCTTAGTCTGAGCCCCTCTCCTATCCTCTGTCTAGATGTTTTCTCTGGGTGATTTTATCCAGGCCTAATGAATGACTCCCAGTTTTCTGTCTCTAGCTTGGCTCCTCCCCCTAGGTCCAGACGTGTATATTCAGCTTGCTATTTGATATCTCCATTTGGATGACTAAAGGTTTTTCAAATTTTGTATACCAAAACAAAGTTCCGATTTTCATGCTTCTTTGCCTCCAAACCCATTCTTCCTCTAGTCTTTTCTCAGTAAGTTACACCACATACGTCTGTTGCTAAAGCCAAAAATCTAGAAGTTATTCTTTCTCTCTTTTCATTCCTACGTTCAGTTAGTTAATAAGTCCTTCCAGCTCTTCCATATCTCTATCTATCCATCCATCATCCAACCATCCATCCATCCATCTATCCATCCATCCAATATCCGATCTATCCGTTCTCTTGACACCATCATTATGTCTTGCCTGGATTGTTGGAAAAGCCTAAGCTGGTCTCCTTGTTCCCTGCCCAGCTGTAATTCATTTTCCCTGTAGGAATCAAAGTTGTCTTCAAAAACATGTATCA